GGTAGTGGCACTGCTGGGATGGCCCCAGGGTGTGCCATGGATGGGGAACAACACCTGGGTGGGTTGAGGTCCCTCAGAGCCCCTACCTGCCTGCACAGCATCCTGCAGCAGCTCCAGCTGGTGCCCTGGCAGGGACAGGTCACTCCGGTCTTTCGCCTCTGTCTCCACATCTACCCCTGGGTGGGGACAGCCAAGGGAAAACCCCTTACACCCCTGTGACAGGGCAGAGGGGCACTGACCACCTCAGAGGTGGCTCATGGGCAGCCCCCCTCTCCCAGAGCACTCCCCTGCCTCTGGCAGTGCCCACCCAGTGCCCTCGCACTCCCACCTACCTGTGCCCAGGCAGACCAGCACCACGTCAGCTGCTCCCACCACCCTCACCAGCTCTGCCCGTGAGTACTGCCTGCACCGTGGCTCGCTGCAGCCCGCTGCAAAGCTGACATTGGCCCCCGGCATCTCCAGCCCCCTCCTGCACCAGGGAAGAGCAGAGGACACAGGGGCAGCTGTGCCGCAGGGTCGGGGCACAGTGGGGACAGCCCCCTTGCCTGGCCACCAGCCAAGGGCCAAGCAGCTCCAGCAGCAGCCCTGGACAGTGCCCAGAAGAGGGGAACAGTGACCAGGAGAGGGAGACATGAGGTGGGACCATGCTGTCTCACCGGGGAGTGTAGATGTACTGAGGCTCCGGCACTGGTGCATAGTCCCCAAACAGTACCCGGGGATTGTCAGCAAAGGGACCAACAACCTGCAGAGGGCAGAGAGGTGAGGTGGGCACCAGCAGCCCTGTGACACCTGTGTGCCCTGGGTTGGACTCAGCATGTTCCCCTGCCCACCCCCTTGCAGGGGCTCACCACAAGGTGCTGGCTGGAGAGGTCCTGGGCCCGCAGGGGCAGTGTGCCCCGCACATTCTTCAGCAGCACAAAGCTCTTGACAGCAGCTTCCAGGGAGAGGTTGCGGTGCTCGGGGCTCTGCACCACACTCAGGTCCAGGGAGCTGTAGGGGTTCATGGCTGGGGGGTCAAACTCCCCCAGTCGCATCCGTGTGTAGAAGAGGGGCCGGACTCGGTCACGCAGCATCTGTGGAGACCCCGACACCTCAGCTGTGCTTGGCAGGGACAGCCCAGGCTCTCTGCTCACACCCCTGGTCCCATTCCCCTCAGCTCACCTGCAGCGTGATGTTGCCCATGGCCAGAGCCTGAGGGATGCGCATGAACACGTTGTTCCTCATGCCATAGGAGAGCTCCAGGTTGCAGCCAGCGTTCACCGAGGCTGCCGTGCCAGGGAGAAGGGAGAACTCCCATCATGGCTGTGTCATGCCTGGGGACTGACCCCATGCCCAGCCCCTGAGCTCACCAACCGCTGTCTCCAGGAAGCTGTGTGTGTAGTGGTGCCCCAGCATGATGAGCTCCACAGCCCCCTCGTCGCTCACCACGTAGCCATCAAAGCCCCACTCGCCACGCAGGATGTCCGTCAGCAGCTTCTTGTTGGCACAAGCAGGGACACCGTTGATCCTGTTGGAGAGGGGATGGGGCAGCCAGGACAGCAGGGCACTGGCCATGCCAAGGGCAGCCCAGCCCAGGTGGCCCCTGCCACGCTCCACACCTGTTGTAGCTGCACATGAAGCTGTAGGAGCCAGCCCGCACACAGGCCTGGAACTGGGGCAGGAAGGTCATGCGCCAGTCCCGCTCCAGCACCTGCAAGCACCATGGCAGAGCGGGGTCAGCACTTGGAGTGTCCCCTGCCCTCTTAACACCCCCTGCCCCGCTGTGCTCACCTTGGCATCGAAGCTCAGCCTGGAGACAGGGATGTTCTCAGGGCCTCCGTGCACGCTGAAGTGTTTGCAGCCAGCGCTGGCCTTGACGTAACGGGGATGCTGGCCCTGCAGCCCCTGCACAAAGCTGCGGGCCAGCTCCCCACTCAGGAACGGGTCCTCCCCATAGGTCTCCTGTCCGGGGCACAGGTGGGTCACCTCTGGAAGCCCTGTTCCCACATCCCCACAGCCTGGCAAGCCATGGCCACATCCAGCTGGTCAGCCATGGCCTGATCCCAGCCAGGGATCACCCGCCCAAGCTGGCACCTGGTTCCTCCCCCACAGCGGGTGCCTCATGATGTTCAGGACAGGGCTGAAGCAGCTGAGCCCGGTGTGGTCAGTGTAGCGTCCAGCAGCAGCAAAGCTGTTGTGCTTGGCTCTCACCTCGGTGGCCGTGGCGTTGGCCACACGGTAGATGAGTTCTGGACTGGGGGAACAGCACAGGGGTGTCAGGGTGACATAGGCAAGGGGGTACCTGTCTCACCAGGTCCCATCGCACACCCCCGGTCCCCGGTGCCGGTACCTGAAGGCAGCAGCCAGCCCCAACGCCTGCGGGAAAGCCGTGGCCCATCCAGGTGCCTCGCCGTCGCCCCGCAGACACTCGGTGTTCCAGTTGTAGGGCGCGATGCCCAGCCGCGGGATGGGGGGCGCGGGGCCGTTCCCCATGGCTCCCCCCCTCGCCACCTGCGGGGCAGCGGCGCTGAGCGGGGAGTCCCGCGGGGGCCCCGGCCGGGTCCCGCCGCCCCCTCACCTGCAGCACCAGCTCGGCGGGGCTCAGCCGGCCCAGCAGGTCATCGAGGCGGCGCTGCCAGGGCAGAGAGGGGTCCCAGAAAGGGAAGGGGGGCGGCTGAGCCCGGGCCGCCCCCGCGCCCAGCGCCGCGCTCAGCACCAGCACCCGCAGTCCCAGCGCCGCTGCTGGGAGAGCCCCGCACGGCACGGCCCGGCTCGGCTCCCGGGATCCGCACGGCATGGCCCGGCCTGGCTCCCGAGGTCTGCACGGCATAGCTCGGCCTGGCTCCCGGGGTCTGCACGGCATGGCTCGGCCCGGCTCCCGGGATTTGCACAGCATGGTTCGGTTCCTGGGATTTGCACAGCACGGTTCGGCCCGGCCCCGGTTGCCCAAGCCCCCGCGATGGGAGCGGCGGGGCGGAGCGCGCTGCGGGCGGTCCTGCGCCCACCGGACGGGGCGGAGCGCGGTCGGACGGGACGGGGCAGGGGGCCTGGGGCTTTGCCGGGTCCCGGCCGCCCCCCGGGCCGGTTTGAGATTCACCCCGTGCAGCGGAGTCTGTATGCGGGGGGCGGCGAGCCCCGCTCAGCCCGGCCCCGCCGCGGGGACAACTCGCAGCGTTTCAGTTCCGCCCGTGTCCCGGAGCATCTCCCGTGTGCGGGCGGGAACCGGCAGATCCGCCCGGCGCCGTCAGACCGGCTCTCGGTGCCCTCGGCTGCAGCGGGGCCGGCTCGGGCCCTGCCCGGGGCCGGGGAGCAGTAACGGCTCCGCCTGGGAGGGATCTCCTGTGCTCACTGGGCGTTGTGGCACGGCACGGACCGAGGTGCCAGCGCGGGTGCCCTGTGCCCCTCATGCCCCCCGGCTCAGCACGGAGGGACACTGCCAGGGACCTCTGCGGTGACCAGGGACGCGGTGTCTTCTAACGTTGGATTTTAGGAAAATGTTCTTCCCCCCGAGGGTGCTGGGCACTGCCCAGGCTCCCCAGGGAATGGGCACAGCCCCAAGGCTGCCAGAGCTCCACGAGCCTATGGACAACACTCTCAGGCACAGGGTGGGATTGTTGGGGTGTCTGTGTAGGGCCAGGAGCTGGACTCCATGGTCCCTGTGGGTTTGCTCCAACTCAGGGTTTTCCAGGATTCAATAATCTCCATCAGCCACCAGCACAGTGGGGCCACTGTGGCAGGAGAGCACAAGGTGTCATTTGGGACTGAGCAGGAGGGGACCTGTCACTGCAGACAGAGCTGGACACAGGGAGCACAGCCATGCCATCAGCTCACTGGCACAATGGAGGTGCTGCTGGCAGCCCCCCAGCCCGGGACAACCACAGCACGCCCCAGTGCCCTGCAGCTGGCCGTGTCCTGGGGATGCAGCCATGTAAGGCAATGCCAGCAGGTCACCGCAGCCCGGCCGGTCCCCACGCTCCTGCTCCCAGCTGCTGGATTCCTGAGCAGCCAGCAGGAGTGGGGCGGTCCCCCGGTGCCCAGAGCACGTCCTACCCCCAGCACACCACCTCAACACTCACTCAGTGACAGGTCTGGGACAGGGACATAATGGTGTAAATAAATAAAGAACAGGAGATTAAAGAAATAAGTAAACAATGCCAGGCACACTCTGTCTGGGAGCAGAACCTGGTGCACTGGGGGCCATGCTGGCTTGGGGAGGGTTGTTAAAGGAATATTTCCTGCGGTTCCTGCAGCCTCAAGCCAGGCTAGTTTCTGTGACACCCTGTCCTTTGCCCTTCTCTTGCAGAGCCATTTGCAGGCCTCACAGGGTGGAAACCTGCTTGTGTTCCACATTGAGCTGCAGCCTAAGGATCCGAGCTTGCCCAATCCTGCCAGCACAGGGCTTGCTTCATCCACCCGGCTGCCCTTTCCCCAGGAATCAGCCCCCACCGAGCCCTTGGAGCCGGGCAAGAAGGCACCGGAACAGGGCCTGGCCCAAGGAGCATTTGCATAACGCTCTCAGGAACACGGGGGGATTGCTGGGGTGTCCTGTGCAGGGCCAGCAGTTGGCCTCGATCCTTGTGGGTCCCTCCCAGCTGCGGATATTCCACGATTCTACTCCCATTCCAAGGTGGCAGTGTGGGACCAAGGTGGGAGCAGGAGCGCAGCCGAGGCCCCTTTCCCGTGGGGCTGGGGGGCCGCGGGGAGGCCTGCAGGGAGCCGGCAGCACGTAGGGAGCATAACGGGGGCCACCATTGCCTCACTGGCCGGGCAGGGGCCGCAGACTGGCGGTCGGGGACAGAGGGAACAGCGGGAGCGGCGGGGCGGGGCCGGGCCGGGCCCAGCGCGGCACCGATGGCGGCGCCGCCACAGTTGAGGCGGGCGGTGGCGCCCCCTGGCGGTGACCGCGGCGATCCCTTCCCGCCGGGATTGGGCTGCCGTGTTGGCGCGCGGCGCACTCTGGGATTTGTAGTCCAGACGGGCGGGCGGGGCGCGCACGGCGGCGCGGCGGGGACTGCGTGTCCCGTGGTGCCGCGCGGCGTCCCGGGGATCCCTTGGTGCCCGCGGCGGACAGAGCGGCCGGGCCGGGCCGGGCCGGGCGGACACGATGTCGCGACAGGGCGGGCGCGGCACCGAGAGCAAGAAAATGGTAACGGCGGGGCCGGCGTGGCGAGCGCATGGCGTGGGGCACCCGGGGAACCGGCCCGCGGCGGGGGTGACCGGGCCCGGGCCGCAGCGCCCGGTGCGGCGGGGCCGGGCAGCCAGCAGCGGCACCGGGCGCTCCCGTTTGTGGGAAGGTCGCACCCAAAACGCTTCCCTGGCGTGTCTCGCTTCCCCTCTCCAGCTCATTCCGCGTTGTCCGCCCGGCTGAGGCAGGAACTGAGAGATGGAGCCCAAAGCTCCAGAGCTGAGCTCCGATTCTGTGTCAAACCAGGTCGAATTCATTAATTTTTAATGCAAAATAAGTAATAAAAAATAAAACCTGGGGTCTTCTCCCTCTTTGGCCGTGAGGAGGGGCTGGGTCGGGCTTAGCTGCCCCTTCCTGCCTCTCCACACCCCAGGGGATTCTTTTCTAGGGATTCAACGATTGTGTAAAGAATTGTGTTAATTCACTGGAGTTCTGACACTTCTGTAGCCATGGAACAGATGCTTTGTGTGGAGAGTGTCAAATAATAAAAATACCGGGAAAGCTTTGGGCACTTCAATTACATCAAATGGGCTGAAAACGAAAAAAATTGTTGTCCAAATCTGTCCTATTGAAACAGCTCAAGTTGCTTTTAATAACAGCATGTTAGCAATAAGTGAGATCAGCTCTGGATGTGCTGGGGCTGCTGGTGGCAGGTGACACCACCATGGCCTCACGCGGTGACAGCACCTCAGGCTGGGGACAGCTGGATTCCCTCCATCCATCCCCATCCCCTCTCCACCTCTGTCTTTACTAAAACTACTGAAACCCTGAAAACCAACACTACATGTTGTGCATGTCTGTTAAATTCTCTGCCAAGTCTCTGATTCCAGCTGAGCCAAAGGAACTTCCACTGATGGGAATTGCCCAATTTTTAGTTTTTCAAGAGAAAACAAATTTTTAAGCAAAGCCCCCAAAGAACGTGTCAGTTCTTAGATTCAAAGGGTGGCAAAAGCTCCAAGCAACCTCTCTGGTTGTTTTCATACCTGAAGCCTTTTGTCCTTGGGAATGGCAGTCCTAGCATCCCACACTGGTTTGGGTTGGAAGGGGCCTTAAAGTTCATCCCATTCCACCCCTACCACTATCCCAGGGTGCTCCAAGCCCTGTCCAGACTGGCCTTGGGCACTTCCAAGGGATCCAGGGGCAGCCCCAGCTTCTCTGGGCACCTGTGCCAGGGCCTCACCACCCTCACAGGGAGGAATTTTTTCCTAATCCAGGAACAAGACAAGGTGGAATTCCCTGTGTCCTCCACAAACCCAGTTTCAGTTTGTTTGGGGATGTTTCCTCTGTGTGTTTGTTGTGGCTTTGTGTGAACTTATGGTGATCTGTGTTGTCACTTAACTCTGATCTTGTCTCTTTTCCCTCCCTGCCTGCTGCTGCTTTCATTCTCTAGTATTGGTATTTGCCATTCATTTCACCTTCTGCCTCTCTGCAGCTCATGGTAGGTGACAGATCCCAGGTCAGCCCCTGTGATCCCTCTGCATGCCAAAACTGACAGCAGAAACCAGTGCTAGGGGTTTGTTTGTTCCCCAAAACACTTCCTTTTGCAGAGTTTTGCTCTGCAGCCTCTAATGACCTCATTAATCACTGGTCTGGTTTAATGGCTCCCAAAAAATGCTCTTTGACATCATTTCAGGGTGAGGATTGAAGGTGGTGGCTGGGAGAGGAGAATTTTCCCCTTTTTTTTTGCAAATTTCCTGCAAATCTGGCAATTGTGCAAAGAAAACACGAGTGACTTTGGTCCTGGCCAGTCCCAGAATGTGCACAGCACCTGAGAGCTGAGCTGGCCTGGGCTTGGCCTCCCTGAGCCTGTTCTGGGTCTGAGGAGCTGATTTCAGTCTGTGAAGCAAATTCCGTGCCTGGACAACTTTCTAGGACCCAATGAATCCTTTTTCTTGGTACAGAATTTCATAAATCCCTGAGCAGAGGAGCATTTTGGGCCTCTCGAAAGGACCAGAGCTGGAGCCTGACGGGCACTGCCCACTTGTAACATGTTGATGAAACAGAGGGAAGAGTTTGAGTCAGATCTCAGCTCTAGGCCAGTGCTTGAGGTAAATTCAGGGCCCTGGCGTGGCACCTCCAGCTATCCAGGAGGTGTTGGTGTCTTTCCCAAAATCCCAGAATGGTTTGGGTTGAAAGGGGTCTAAAAACTCAACCAGTTCCACCCCCTTCCAAGGGCAGGGGCACCTTCTAGTAGACCAGGTTCCTCCAAGCCTCATTGCAAGGAGAATGAAGTTGTTGCCAGAACTGGAGCTGGGATCTCTCCTTGTTAAACTGGAGCTGGGATCTCTCTTTATGAAACTGGAGCTGGGATCTCTCTTTATTAAACTAGAGCTGGGATCTCTCCTTGTTAAATTGGAGCTGGGATCTCTCTTGTTAAATCGGAGCTGGGATCTCTCCTCATTAAACTGGAGCTGGGATCTCTCATTGTTAAGCTGGAGCTGGAATCTCTCCTTATTAAACTGGAACTGGGATTTCTCCTTGTTAAACTGGAACTGGGATCTCTCTTTATTAAACTAGAGCTGGGATCTCTCTTGATAAATTGGAGCTGGGATCTCTCTTTATGAAACTGGAGCTGGGATCTCTCTTTATTAAACTGGAGCTGGGATTTCTCCTTGTTAAACTGGAACTGGGATCTCTCTTTATTAAACTAGAGCTGGGATCTCTCTTGTTAAATTGGAGCTGGGATCTCTCTTTATGAAACTGGAGCTGGGATCTCTATGAAACTACAGCTGGGATCTCTCTTTGTTAAATTGGAGCTGGGATCTCTCCTCATTAAACTGGAGCTGGGATCTCTCCTCCTTAAACTGGAGCTGGGATCTCTCTTTATGAAACTGGAGCTGGGATCTCTCCTCCTTAAACTGGAGCTGGGATTTCTCCTTGTTAAATTGGAGCTGGGATCTCTCTTTATGAAACTGGAGCTGGGATCTCTCGTTAAATTGGAGCTGGGATCTCTCTTTATTAAACTGGAGCTGGGATCTCTCCTTGTTAAATTGGAGCTGGGATCTCTCTTGTTAAATTGGAGCTGGGATCTCTCTTTATTGAACTGGAGCTGGGATCTCTCTTTATTGAACTGGAGCTGGGATCTCTCCTTGTTGAGCACAGCTTCCTTTGAGCCAGCAGGTCCCTGTTCCTCTCTCCGTGCCGAGGTGGCGGCGCTGGACTCGGAGGCAGCAGAGCCCAGGTGGGTTCTGTTGGGTGAATTCTCTTTTCCTGTGCACAGAACTCGGAGCTGTTCACGCTGACCTACGGTGCCCTGGTGACCCAGCTCTGCAAGGACTACGAGAATGATGATGATGTCAACAAGCAGCTGGACAAAATGTGAGTGCATGCACAGGTGGGAGTGGGTCTGCCCTGCTGGAGCTGTGTGGGAGCTGGGATCACAGCAGGAATTGGTGCCTCAGGTTTAGCTTTTATGTTTTTCAGATTCTGTGCTGCTTTAGTGTGCGGTTCTGAGTTTCATACTAGGGGATGGTGAGCTCTCTGCAGAGAGTAGGGCGACAAAACAATTCCTCCTCTAGCTGGGGACCAAGGACAAATGATCCAAATTTCAGGCCCAAGAGCATAAACCGCATGGACTGAAGAGAGAAAAACAAGGATGGGACTTCATGGGTTAAAGCTGTAATTGGACAATTAACTCCAATATGCAAATGGAGCAGAACTTGTAAAAGTGAGAGACCTCCTGACCAGTTGTCTGTTTTTTTGTGACCATTTTGGATTCATCTTGGGTTTAGCCCTGTCTGGGCTCTTCTGCTGCTGCTGCTCTTCTTCTGGATCAGTGGATCCACTGAGGCCTTTTAATAAATCCCTGCTTTATTCTTTAGCTCTGTCCAGCCTCTGTTCTAGCTCAGCCTCCACCAGGCATCAGGATCACAGCCACATCCCTGTATCCTGCTCCAGGAGCAAAACCCTGGCAGGCTGAAGTTATTTAACACCAACATTTCTCAGATTAGACTTTTCTTCTTCACTCTCTTTTTTTATAAATATTTGTTGTCTTTCTGAAGCTGTTGCTCTGGTCCCTTCACAGGGGTTACAACATCGGTGTCCGGCTCATCGAGGACTTCCTGGCCCGCTCCAATGTTGGGAGGTGCCACGATTTCCGTGAAACTGCAGATGTTATAGCAAAGGTAAATGCCCAAGCACAGCTTTGTCAGGTTTTCTGGGAGGATTTTGCATGTGAGGATGGAATGTTTGCTACTCACAGGACTGTTCTGGGAGTTTGATGAAGATTTTGGGGAGGGGAAAAAAAGCCTTAGTCCAAGTACTGCTGGCTGGTGGGAACTGGAAGAAAGGAGAAATATTTGCAAACCCCTTGAGGAATTTTACAAAATCAAAGCTGTGCTGTTGCCTCAGCTGCTCTTGTTCCTCCTGTTTGCCACAACAGATTGCATTTAAAATGTACCTGGGCATCACTCCGAGCATCACCAACTGGAGTCCTGGGGGCGACGAGTTCTCCCTGATCTTGGAAAACAACCCCTTGGTGGACTTTGTGGAGCTCCCTGACAACCACTCAACCCTCATCTACTCCAACCTGCTCTGTGGGGTGCTGCGAGGTGCCCTGGAGATGGTGAGCCACATCTCCCTTCCCTTGGGGTGGGTGTATGGACAGCCAGGTGTCAGCAGATACTTTAATTCCGGTCTGTTTGTGATTTCTGGGTTTGAAACGCTTTCCCAGGAGAAGGGCAGAGCTGCAGGAGCACTTGGCTGCTGTTATGTGTGGCAGCTGAGGCCCAGAGGTGGTGCCTAAGCCCGTTCAGCTCATGACCCAAGTTTAAGCACATCTCCCTGAGTTTGTGTGAAGCTCCAAAATCCTCACTCTGTATCTGCTGTGAGCCCTAGCTGGGAATTGGCTGGAACAGCTGTGTCTCAAATTTAGGGCTTTGTAGAGCCCTGTAGGTCGTGTCATGCCCTTAGAGCCCTTAAGCTGGTGCTCCAGGATCATTCAGCCCCTGGAGAAGCTGCTGTGAACAGGGAGTTACCAGCTCCTCTCTGCTCTTCCCTCATTAGGTGCAGATGGCTGTCGATGTGAAGTTTGTCCAGGACACCCTGAAGGGCGACAGCGTCACAGAAATAAGGATGAAATTCATCAGGAGGATTGAAGACAACCTTCCAGCTGGGGAAGAGTGAACCACAGCCCCATCTCCCTGGGGACTGGAGGGACCAGCTGGGTTTGGCCATTAGCTGTCCTCACAGATCCACAGGGATCTCCTGCCCCTGCACACTCAGACTGACTCACTGACTGTCTCAGATGTTCTTTTCTTCTACTCTCACTTCCATCCTCTGTAGAAGATGATTGTCTGGTTGCTGTTTATTTCCCAGGTTCATTCTGAAGCTTTTTCATCAGGTGATGTCCTTTTCCCTCCCCCTGGGGGCTTCCCAAGCTCAGTTTCCAGTTGTGACCCGGGCTGTGTGACAACAACTGCTCAGACTCCAGGAGAGCTCCGGTCTCTTCACATCGGTGTCGGAGGGCCAGAATTGGAGACCAAGCTACAAGAGCCCACTGATTCCCTGCTAAACCCTGTCCTTCCTTAAATGAGGTGTTCAAAATCCATTTGGAGATGTGTGTAGTGTTTCTGTAGATCAAACTGGCTTCCTGCACTTGATTCTTGCAAGCTTGGTCCAAAGGGGTGGCTTGGGGAGAGCTGCTGGCACCAGGGCAGAGGCTGCTCTGCTCAGGGGGCTGTGGCACCACAGAAATCTGAGAGATCCCTGGCCTTTCCATTGTTCCTTCCTTCAAGGTGAGAAGCCTCACCTCTGGAGGGGAGGAGATCAAACTTCAGTGGAGCAGTAGGAACTATTTGACATAGAGAAAGAATGGCTAAAATGGCATTGGTGCTTCACAATGGGCACAGCCCGGGGTGCATGGGGACCCATGGAGTGAGGACCAAACTCAGGCTGAGGCCTGGGAGGTGTTAAAGACATTTCAGGCTCTGTTCTGATGTTGGAGGATGTAAAGGCTGCATGGTGTGAAGGCAGTGCCAGGGTTTGTTCTCTCTCGCTGGTGTTCAGTAGAATTTCCCAGTTACTTGACCTGTGGCACTTGCTGCTCTCAAAGATAAATACATAAAGAAGTATTAGATAACAAAAAGCAAGAGATTGGAATATCAGCTTCCTCTGCCACCCAGAGCTAGAGAACACAGTCAAGCATTGGGTTCCCAAATCACTTTACATAGCATGAAGGCACAGCCCCTCGAGGTCTCATGAGCTCCAGAATTTGTGTTGGTTGATGCCTGAATGTGAGGTGGGAGGGAGCAACCCACTGCTTGTGCTGCTTTTTTTGGCTTTTCTGGGGGAATGTTGGGTCATCTGGCACTGGATGGCTCTCCCTGTCCCTTTTTTGGCCCCGAAGAGTCCCTTTGGATGCTCCATGTGACACGTGCCCTGTGAAGGGACAGTGAGTGGCTGTAAGTGCAGTCAGAGGCATGGCAGTGGCCCAGCAGTGCCAGGTGGCTGTTGGTGGCAGAAGTGCCACATGATCACGTTGCAGAGCTCAAAACCATCCCTTATTTCTCATTGTTGACCATTCCAAGTCACTTTAGAGCTGCATTTTAGGAGCAATTGCATTAAAAGCATAGCGGTGTCAGTTCTTTGGTCTCCTCTTGCCTGTGTTCTGGTGGTGGGTGCTGGCAGGGTGGCAGCGGTGACAGGGTGCCCAGGGCTGGCAGGGTGACAGCAGCACTGCCCCAAGAATTCCTGGCTGCTGGTGGGCCTGGAAGCTGCTGCCTGGAGGAAGCTGCCCAGCATTGCACCACAGAGGGACTGGGGCAGACACTCAGTGTGGCTGCTTTGGGGTCTGTGAATCCCCTGTGGCTGGGACTGCCGCCAGCCTGAGGCAGCTGCTGCAGAGCCAGAACTCTCTGTGGGCATTTACAGTGGCAAAAAAATCACCTGGAGGGGCATCTGAGCCTCCTCTGCTGCCAGCTCAGTGCTGCTCCATGGCTGGCATTGGCTGTGTGGTGCTGCTGCCAGGAGCGTGGAGACAAGGAGCAGCAAGGGCTGCTCTCCAGGAGCAGTTTGTGCTTCCCTTTCTTGTGTGGGTGCTCCCCAGGAGCCCTGCTCTGGCGGGATCTGTGCTCTGTGCTCGTGGGCATTCCCTGCTCCAGGGTCACCCTGCAGTCACATTCCATCCTGGGCACTGAGTGCTCTGCCAGCCCCAGCGATGGGGAAGTGGCAGCTTTTGCAATAAAGTGTTTTTTTTTTCCTCTGGAGCTGGTGAGCACCACGTGCTGCTGGCCTGGCCAGGAGCGGGAGCCAGCCAGGGCAGCCCCAACCAGCCCCAACATGCACCCAGCTCCTGAGGCTGTCCCAGAGGCTCTGGGGGGAGGGAGATCCCTGGTCCTCACCCCTGCACAGAGTGCATCCTGGACCCCTGCTCCCAGCCCCTTGGGAATTCAAGTAATTTGCTGGGGCGACAGGGTCAAAACCAGCCCAGACCTTCTGGAAGAACAAAAAGCAGAAATTGCATTAAGTAAATTAAAACTGTCTACTACTGAGCAGCTCGCTGCAGACAAGGGAGAATATGCAAAAAGCTCTGTTTGAAACCTACTAAATATTACCATGTGCTGTTTATAGGAAACAAATGGGGAAAGGCATCTGCATCAATAAACCCCAACGTGGCTGGGCTTGGACTGAAGCCTTTCCACGGCTCTGGGTTATTGAATACCCGTGGCTTTCATGTGGTGCCAGCCCTGACCCCTGACACATACCGCGGAGGGGAAAGTTGACTTGTGGGAATAATAGACATTCCTAGGGAGCCATTTAACCTGGCAGCAAAAGAGGCAACTTCCAGCCTCTCACATCCCTGCGTGATATTGGAGATGACAATAGCAACAAGTCAAGGGGGAAACAGGGGATGTGGGGTGGGAGTGGTGCTGGGGAGTGATGCTGCAGGACCCTGGTGCCCGGGGTCCAACGCCATGTGTCCTCCCCAGCCTGGGCACCCCACAGAACCTTGTCCAAAACACATCCCAGGCTCCCACAGCAGCAGGATGCAGGAGGTGGAAGGAGCTTTCCAGCCCTTGTCCCCTTCCTGCAGGAAAGTGGGACACTGGCTGGTGTCCTGATGGAGCGCACTGGCAGCAGCTGAAGGTCAATGTGTGACTCACAGGGTCCAGGGTGAGGGTTTAAACCAGTTCATGTCCCCAGTGTGGGGACAACCTGGCCAGTGTTGGCAAACCTGGACGAGCTGGCTGCTGCTCCTGGCTGGTGGCAGCCCCAGCCCCACTCCCCACTCTTGCACCAGCCATGAGCAGGTGATCCCTTCTTTGCTCTCCAGTGGGAAGCAGAGCTCTCAACCCCCCTCATGTCACCCAAAACAGAGTGAGTGACATCCCTGGGCACTGCCCACACCCCACAATGCAGCACTTGCTGAGGGGACAGGGGAAGCAGAGCTCTCAGCCCCCCTCACATCACCCAAAACAGCGTGGGTGCCATCCCTGGGTACTGCCCACACCCCACAAAGCAGCACTTGCTGAGGGGACAGGGATGGTGCCAGCAGAGGATCCTGGATGGGACAAGAGGATCTCTCAGGGAAAGGAGCATTTCCGGGCTGGTGTCCTCACTGCAGGGGCAGCTCCCACAGCTTTCAGCCAGATGTGCTTGGCCGGGGTGCTGGGCATTGCTGAGGATGCAGAGGATGTTTCACCCACAAGGGCTCGTGCACCAGGGACAGGGCATGTTGGCAAGGTTGGCACAGTGCCCATGGCTCCAGGTAGCCAAGGTGAGGGTGCAGCCAGCAGGGACAGGTGGGTACCAGCCCCTCAGGGAGCTCTGTCCCTGTGTCCTAAGCACCTTCCACCCGCAGCTGTGGGACACTCAGGTGTGGATCCCGCTCCCCCCAGGTGCCCAGCTGTGCCTGACCTGCCCGAGCATCTCCTCGTGCCTGGCACCACATGGGCACCAAACCCATGAGAACCTGTTCTCTGGCTGATAATGATCTGTGAGTTTGGGTTCCTGGATGTTTTTATAACCCTTCCTGGGCCCCTGGGCCGGCTGCAGCACGTGTTTGGCTACCCTGGCAGCACAGGCAGCTAACAAAATCCTTTCTCAAGGCACAGTCACGCTGCACCCCCTGCCCTGGCCCAAACACAGCTTCCAAAGCTGGGAATGCCTCTGGCAGCAGCACCGGGTCAGGGCAGCCCTTTGGCAATGCTCCTTGGCATCCTCCCTCCTGCAGCATCCCTTGCCAGGGCGAGGAAGAGGAGGAGGAGGCGCCTGCAGTTCCTCCCTTCCTCGGGTCAGAGGACACAGGAGCAGCCCCGGCAGCGCTGCTCGGAGCCGAGCCACGTTCTGGTGGCATTTGGTATTTGGGGTGACGGGAAGGAAGCTCCATTGTTCCTCTTTTATTGTTTTGTGTTTCCTAAGCGGGATCGGCACCCTCCTCCCACGCTCTGCCCGGCTGCAGAGCGGATCCAGCCCTGGGAAAGCCAACCCTGCTATCTTGGTTTGGAAAGACAGGAGGCTGCTAAGGAAGGCAGGAGCCTCCCCTGAAATGGAGAATGTAAACCCTCCCCATCCCTCTGAATAAATTTTAAATTAAGGGGCTCTCAGGCAAGAATATGGGAGCAGGAAATAACAGTTCTTTAACAGAGAAGAAAAATAAAAGGATAAAATAAATAATGCAGTAAACTAAACCAACACTGCCAGAGTCGGAACCCAACCTGACACCCTGTGGGTCAGGCTGTTGGCAGCAGTCCCATTGGAATTGTGGCTCAGCCCTCCTGCAGTGTCAGGGCTGCTTCTGCTGGAGCAGGGATCCTGGAGAAAGGTGCAGTCTCTGCCTCTGAAGATCCAGGGGCAGAGGCAACTGCTGTTCCTCTGGGCAATCCAGTGCAGAAGCCGTGCTGGTGTTCCAGAATCTCCAGATTCTATCCGGGTAGGAATGCTTGGCTCCTCCCTCTGGGCTCCCATCTCCCAATGGGATGCTGTAGTTCTTATCAGCCATGCAGGGACATTCAATAGCTGTTATCAGCAGGTGTTCCCTCCCGAGGGAGGTGTGATTGTGGTCACTCAAAGAAAGAGATAAGGCAAACTGCCCTCTTGACAAAGGTAATCTGCCATACAGATGGTAATTGAAAACATCTTGCATTGCAATTTTCAACACCTGTTGAGTGCTGGGTGAAGGGAAATGCGGGCACAAAATCATCCCGGCTGCAGCACAGACACGTGCAGGGATGGCCAGGGGCTGTGGCAGGGACAGGGCTCAGCTCAGTGCCCTCCTGCCCTGCTCAGGTCCGTGCTCCCGGGTCTCCGTGGTGCTTTGTGTGCTAAATGTGGCCATGCGGCTCACACCAGCCCCTTATTTTCTACCCTTCACTCTGATTTGTGCCCGTGTCCTGGGGATTCCTGCAGCCCCTCTGGTGCAGCAATTTCCTGGCTGTGAGCTTGGATATTTACCTCAGGGAGGCGGTGGGAACCATCCTTTGGTGCATTTTGGATCTGTGCCCACATGAAACCCCCATCCTTGTCCTGGGGAGGATTCCCAGAACCTTCCAGCCTTTTCCATGTCAAACACTCTGCAGGCACCACACTGAAGGCTTTAATTCGTTGTTA